GCAAGCAGATCTTGGTGGAAGTTGGTGGAAGGCTCTGAGAAAAAAAGAAGAGAAAACATGATGCTATTATTAGTATGTGAGATGAACCCTAATTGATGTCTTTATTTTTATAATGTTAAAAATAGACATGCTTTTATCTATTAAACGAGATAGTGATGCTAGATTTTTTTCATCATGTCCTATCGATTAATAGCTATAGTAGCTTATATAACACAAAAGAAGATATGCTATAGTAACTTTAAAATATAACAAAATGAACATACAAAATAATTTTCCAAAAGTGATAATAAAAGTCGAGCAAGTATATATATTAATGAGAGATTACATATATAGATACGACTTTTCCAGGCACAATGTTTCACCAAAATTGGTCTAATATTAACTTTTACATCTTGTTATATTGATTTTGTACAGAATAATTTGAGTTTTTTATCGCCCCCCCCCCCCCCCCCCCCCCCCCAATTTCTATCTCTTTAATCTAATCTCATTTCTGTAATTTGATATTATATCATCTTATTTGAAATGTGTGATCTGTTTTTTTTTTACATTTATCATGTTATGATCATAATATGCATGATTAACAAGGTGAATATATAGAAGAGCTTATGCATCGTCACTATTATTGAATCACATTTATATTTGTTTTTAACTCCGCCGTGAGATCATTTTTTGGTGTCATACATGTTCCAAGCCAGGATAAAGGAGGAGGGTGTTGTGATAGGCGCGTGACAACCAGCAATATCATTTAGTTACATCACATGACATGAATCTTGTATCAAATTTATAAAGAGTGTTTGATTATAGAGGTTTAATAGTGATTGAATTTACTAAGTTAATGATGTATGGTTAAAATAAAAAAGATAACTTGATTGTTGTTATATTCATATATTTTCTATAGGGACCTACCATTCCATTTGTAATTTATAAAAAACTTAAACGAGTCATGAATTTTGGAGCTTTTACCATGTTGAAGTAAATTAAAAATTTCAAAATTGTTTTACTATACAAACACATTCACATAATGTGATATAGACAGAACATGTGATAGTATCATATTTCATTTTTTCTCAACACATCAAAGTATGTTTTCATCAATTGAAAGAATGTGAGTTGGATCACTTGCTTGTTACTTGTGACTTTGTTTTTAATTGTAGTGTTTCCGTGTTTCCTTCAGAAAATGGATCAACTACTTAGCCTCTTGGACAATATCATGTAATATCTAGATTGTGAAAGACTTCTCATCCATCAATAATTCCAATGAGTAAATGAAAAAAGGTCACTCATGGATCGCCGTTTATGGAGAAGAAAATGAAGCCCTACTATTTCCCCCAAGAATTGAGTTACACTCAACTTATGTTTTTATGAATATTACTAAATACTAATGATGGATCACTGAACCGGGGGTAGTCAGAATCCAGACAGAATAAGAGAGTGAACTGATCGGAAAATACAGACAGATAATTCGGCAGTATAACAGTAGGAGAGTAAAGAATGGGAGGGAGACACGTGTAAAGATAAAAGATAAAAGGCAATACTTGGTGTCCAAGTAAAAAAGATACTGATCAAATGGGAGGGAGACACGTGTAAAGCTATTCTAACAAACTATCAGTCTAATTCGATGGGGAGCAACCACGTGTAAAGGTGATCGGAGAGATAGTCTTGGACAGCTGGCTGATTGGAATCATCTCTAACAAACTGCTACCAGAATACCCGTGTGGTTAAGCGTGTGCATTCTGGCATATTATCCGCTGCTGGTGATGATGTGGCAGTACTTCATTGCGGTGCTGGTCCTTGCGGATTTGTCTAAGTACACAATGCTTTGGCTGACCTTGAGTTCTACCGGGGTCAGTGATTGGAGGCTCGGGCTCATCGTGAGGGAACCCGCCTCCTGTCTATTGTAGAAGCCTTTGAGGTGGTTAGCCGCTTGATACTCTGACTTTGGTTGCTCACATGCTTGACCTCCGAGGTCGGGCTTGGTGCCGAGCTCGGACATTCGAGGTCGGGCTCATAACTTGCCGAGTTTGGCCCATTCCCGAGCCTGGTGTTTTCCCGACCTCGAGGTCGGGGTCGGGTGACCTTGTGGCCCTTGGTCATTTTGTTGTCTGACGCTCATTCCTGACCTTGGTCGGTCGGGGTCGGGGTCAGTCCGACTGTGGACTTAGTCTTTTATGCACTCCGGTGTGGCCCCGTGATGCTTTCTCATCGGCGATTATGATACCCCTAGGGTGTACGGGAATATACTCCATCAACTAAATCAAATGAAAACGAAAAAAATATTATATCTTTTGAGTTTTCTAAAAAGTGACCAACCATACCGTTTATTCCCTTTACTTAATACGAAGTATTACATTTAATATTGTAATGTTACATTTATTAAAATTAAGGGTTAATCAGTACTGCTGCCCAACCAGTCCCATTAATCGCCACAACCATCAGCATCGCCACCGCCATTGCCCGTCATCGCACCAATAGGGAGCATGAAGGCACTAACCTAAATTCTACTACATTTGTCCCGCTATGATTATCCCATTTTACCTTATCGATCCGTCTCACTAAGATTGCCCCATACCAAATTTGGTAAAGTTTGTGTGGCTCTAAATCATTCTTACTTTATTCTTACTTTATCAATTTAATATCAACCACATAAACCACTTTTTATTAATTTGTGTGCCACTCCCTCTTGTCCCTTTGTTAGCGGGACGGAGGGAGTAATACTTAGCATGTTAGTGCATACGCTCATAATTACTGTCACATTCCATCGACAGTGTGTAGGCTAGTCACCGAGCACGATCCATTAGATGAGATAAGTTTGGTGAATCCGACAGTGTGATTATGCCGATAATTACTACAACATTCCGCTGATAGTGTGAGCACGGGCCATTGCGGTGGGATAGATTTGGTGAATCTGGTGCATCTTGGGCTTGAGTCGTTGTGGCAAAGGTTTGAGTCACTACGACTAGAGTTTTTGTAATTGCAGTTAGAATTCTAGTGAATGCGGTTAGAATTCCGGTGCAACGGAAGCCGCTAGGGTTTCCATGACTCTATGGCTATGACTCCAATGATTGCGACTACGGCTAGGGTTATAGTGCTTTCGCTAACGAGCTAATTTAGTTAACGTTGGACAAAGTCACTATGTTTTTATGGTATCTATCAACGATGATCACTAAAGTTGGGCTGAAGTCATTAATAGGGCTTTGTTAGTAAGAGTATATGACAATCACTGCCTTTAGTGACGACAACGAAGGTAGTGGCATTGGCATCAACGGGTAGGTGGGGCAACATTGGGTGGGTGAGGGCCGGGATGCAAAACAACATTAATTATTTACTATTATTAAATGTAATATTAAAATAATAAATGTTATGTTAGATAGAATGGGTGATTATTGTGATGACTTGCTTTTCTATGAGTCATATTTTTGTAATAGATTACACTATTTGTGATATAAATGTCATTTTTTCTTAACAAATTGCTTTCTTAAGATTTGAAAAGAAACTAATCACCGATATACTTTTTCTTGAATTTAAAAACACAATTATAATGAAGAAATAAATTCACATGATACCATGTCACATGAGACCAATCAAACCAAATTAAGATATGTCAAAATGAGATAAACAAAATAATACTCAATAAGTTTTAAACAAACTATGAGAGATCAATTTAAATCAACCATAATACTATACCGTAACAAAGTAAGAAAGTTAATGAAAGCTAAGCAAATGATGAAGAAGATAAGCATAAGTCAACCCACTTCAACCCCTTCACACCAATGCACATACTCTACCACAAAACAGTGAGATATTTTGATGTCAATTACCATGATACAAACTAGACCACTCTACCACAAATCTCACATATTATATTATGATATTAGTTCAACAACTAAGTTGGTAGGTACACCTCTCTCAAAAGAAAGTTGTTACATTTCCGCATCAAATAACAACCTTCACATTCTGAAATCTCAATCGAAATATTTTAGCTCCTAAAAATCACATCGAGCTAGCGATGTCAATGATTAAATAAGTCTCACATGGCACCATATGTGACTGTTTATCCCATCTTTTCCAACAACCCTATCATCCAAATATCTTCAAATGTAGGTTCAAAATTATCATTGACATGTTTTTTTTTTCCTATTAATCGTTACCGTTAGAATTAGATATTACTCATATTTTGATAATTGTTATTAATTTAAATCAGTTGTATAAACAAATATACTTCATGCAGAGTATTTGATAGCTGAATATAATGAGGATGTTTTTACTTGGACTATAATTTGTTGGTCTGGTTTGATATGGTCTGGTCTGTTTTAGTCTGGTCTGGTCTGTTTTGGTCTGGTCTGGTATGGTCTGAAATTTCATTTTTTAAATTTTTCATAAAGATTTTTATTTTTTATATTTATTATAATCCATAAATAATTATATTTTATTCATTTATAATTAAAAATAATAATAGTAATAATAGGAATAATACTAATAATAATACCAATGATAATGATGATGATGATGGATGATGCTAATGATGATGATGATGACGACGATGGCGGCGACGACGACGACGACGACGATGATGATGATGATAAAATATGGTCTGGTCTGAAATTTAATTTTTTATATTTTTTGCATAAAGATTTTATTTTTTATATATATTATAATCCATAAATAATTATATTTTAGTCATTTATAATTAAAAATAATAATAGTAATAATAGTAATAATAGTAATAATACTAATAATAATAACAATGATAATGATGATGATGATGACGACGATGATGATTATGATGATAATAAAATATGGTCTGGTCTGATCCGGTCTGTTTTAGTCTGGTCTGGTCTGATCTGTTTTGGTCTGGTCTGATCTGGGACGAATTAAAGTCCAAGTAAAAACAACCTAAGTATCAAATTTTATTTGTTCACAAATTTAGAAATAAAAAAGTTCACAATCAAATTAGAATATCTTCTACTCCACATTGAATAGTCTTAGTTAATGAAAAATACCCGTAGCTCAGTTGGTTCAGTGGCGGGAAATTTGGACCAAGTGACCAAGGTTCGAAACCCGCAGCGGTCATGTGGAGGTTACAGAACCTGAAATAAGGCTGAGCCTCGGTGCGCACAGGAAAAAGGCCTACCATCATTGGGCCGACTGAGTCTGATTATATCCTCCCAAAAATCCTGTCGAGTCGGGGTACGGGGCTCCCGGCGGGAGATTCCACTTTTTGGAAAAAGTGTAGAACAAGAAAATAGGATCACCGATTCAACATCAGTTAGCTCTTATGGGAAACTCCCACCCAGCACACCCCCAGAGCACCAATGTCATCGTATATATAGAGAAATAGAGAAGACAATTGCCACTGACATTGCTATGTCCGCCCAGCTCACACGTCACATCTGAAAACAAGGACCTGAGATGCCAACAATGTCATTTATACTTGCTCGTTCGCCCGCCCGCCCATCCATCGCCGCCTAGTAAACCCAAGAAGAAGAAGAAGCAGTTCCCCTGGGGCCGGGACTAGTACCCTCATTATCTGTTTCCGCCTTACCGGCGAAAACCCAATCAGCACTTGCCGCCAGTCAATCTCCCGGAATTCATTTTAGTCGCCATTGATATCGTTATTATAGGTTTCTTGCGAATCATGGGTTGTCAAAGCGTCAATTCGTTGCTGCAAAAACACCCCTTTCCTTCTCAATCCATGCCGGTGAGATTTCCAGGCGGCTATCTCGCCCGCAGTTTCAGCTCAGGATCGCTGTACTTGCGCCGACTTAGGGCCCGGAAGCTCATATTGAACGCATCTGCCTCGGATCCATCGCCTGCATCTGTCTCTCGTCCCACTCCAGTTAGAAATGTGGAGAACAGGTACCACATTAATGATTTGATATCAGCAGATTTTAAATTGGTTCTTTGACTTTAATATTATTAATCCTAATTTGCTGCGTATGCATTATGTTTATCATAAAACTGTAAAGAAAGATTTTTTTTTTCAAATGAATTCTAAATGCGAGCATTAATGCTTCCTTCTACAGTTTTGGATACAATGGCTGCAAACTAGTTGGATGTGGCTCTGCTGTACCGAGTTTGAATATATCTAATGAAGATCTTGCGAAAATAGTTGATACTAATGATGAATGGATTTCAGTCCGAACTGGAATTCACAACAGAAAAGTTCTTTCAGGTTAGTGATGCTCTTCAATCCCATTCTATAGGTACGATTCTTTAAACTATTCATACTTTTGTTTTTTAGATTGATTTAAGAGTTGCACATTTATGCCTTTTGATAGTGAAGTGAATAAGGAAAGATAATAATGTAGAATGGAGCTAATGTTTTGTAGTAGTTGTGTTATGCGAGGACCAGCTGGCCATGGTTTGACGTATTTTCTTATGTAGGCAAAGACAACTTGACTGCACTAGCTGTGGAGGCTTCAAAGAAAGCTCTTGAGATGGCTGAGGTAGATCCTGATGACGTGGATTTAATTTTACTGTGCACTTCGACACCAGATGATCTCTTTGGCAGTGCACCACAGGTATAACCTTGCAATGTTTATTTATATATTTCTTCACGTTCTTTTGATATATTGGCCCCTCGACTGTAACCAGGTTATAACTGAAGGGTTATTTCTTTCTTTATCCAGCTACTCCCTGCGAAATTTTATAACTGAGAAGCTTAATGAAAATGAGCTGCTTGCATGAGTTTAATTAAATCCTCTCTCTGCAGTACACACACATACGCGCACACATGTATGTGTGTGTATAAAGGGATTTTCTGCTTTTAGTCCTTTCATTATTGTCTGTCAATGACACTTTCGGTACCGTCTTTGATTTTTTTGCTTCTAGTTCTTTGACTGTGGCAGAGACACTTTTAGAACCCTTATTTGATTTCATCTACTTTTAGTCCATTAACTATTTGTTTTACAATATTGTTTTTTGCCCCCAACCATTGCAAGGAAAAAAAGTAGTTGGATGTATGAAAGTGTCACTATAGTTGGACCGAAAATGTCATTATCACAACTGTTAAAGGATTAAAGGTGGAAGCATTCAAATACTGTACTAGAAATGCTTTCATCACAATAGTTAGGGGACGAGATGTAGAAAAGTTCAAAGTGAGGTACCAAAAGTGTCACCGGACAATAGTCAAATGACTAAAAGTAGGAAAAACTTAATATTTATTGAAAATTATTATTGGTTCACCCTTCATGTATTCAATTGTTGATGCCAAATTCTATCACGTAACAATATTTGTCAATTCCACAGCTAACAATTTGTTCATTTGTACTATTGTTTTCACAATTACTTGTTTAAACACTCAGTTTATTACGTTTATATGATTCTACCTTGTTAAAATATGCTTTTTTACATAAAATAATGGTAAAATTCTCCTGTATCAGATTCAAAAAGCATTGGGTTGCCATAGAAACCCGTTGTCTTTTGATATAACAGCTGCTTGTAGTGGCTTCATGCTTGGATTGATATCTGCTGCTTGCTATATTAGAGGTTAGTTATACTATCTGACAAACAACTTTTTACCATTTATTTTTGGAATGTACTCTAATTTGCCTATTGAAGCAACAATGATTTTTTCCTGTTTGCTGTTCACCGATGTTCTTGTACGTCTGTTTGAGTGGTAAGTATATTATGCATTTTACAGGTGGTGGATTTAAAAATGTCCTTGTAATTGGGGCAGATGCACTTTCTCGATACGTTGATTGGACAGATAGAGGGACTTGTATTCTCTTTGGTGATGGTGCTGGCGCTGTACTTGTCCAGGTGCATTTTTTATTATCTGAGACCCACCGTCATCTTCCTTGATGTGCATGATTTTTTGAATTGTGGCTAGATTAAGTTATTAAGTAGAGCTAATAGCCGATTTAGTCCTTCAACTGTACACTGTTATGTGATTTTGGTCTCGAATAATGTAGCCCAGACTCAACTTATTTGTCATCCATATTTTGCTCCAATTAAGAATGGTATTTTGGCATGTTGATTTTCAAATATCAGTTTTGCAATAGGACGTGGCTATATTTAAGGTATTAAGTAGAGTTAATACTCGATTTAGCCTGAACAGTATACTATTACTCGATTTTGTCATGGAATCTCTTTTGGACTCAATCTTCTCCTGAATAATGTAATTTAGACTCAATTTAGTTGTCATCCATATTCTGCTCCAATTAAAAAGGGAAAAGGGTCAAATAGGCCCTCGAACTTACATAAAAAGGTCAAATAAGCCCTTATATAGGAGGCTCTGTCCGGTTGTAGCCATTTGGGGCCGTTCCCGGTGGAATTTTTTGATGAAATATTTTGAGCATTTTATTCATTAAGTCTAGTTTACTGATACTAAATTTGACCTTACAACTCAATCGGAAAGGCATTCAAATGAATTCTTGAAGATAACTGCGCTTTTAACTGCACAATTATCTTCAAGAATTCATTTGAATGCCTTCCCGATTGAATTTTTAGCTGGAATTTGGTATGATTAAACTTGACTTAATTAATAAGATGCTCAAAAAATTTCATCAAAAAATTCCACTGGGAACCGCCCCAAATGGCGGCCGCCGGACAGAGCCTCCTATATAAGGGCTCATTTGACCTTTTTATGTAAGTTCTAGGGCCTATCTGACTCTTTTCCCAATTAAAAATGATATTTTGGCTTGTTGATGACTAAATTAGGTCCAGATTACATATGCGAGGGAAAAACTTGAGTCATTTAGTTGCTTCTATGTATAGTGAACGGGGGGGAGTACCATCCTTATTTAGAACTAAATATGCATGAGCAAGAACTGAAATGGAACCGACTTTCTGGACAAAATTTAGTAAAGAAAAGAAATTGAGGACCTAACTGAGTAATAGTGAATAAATGAGGGACTTATAACATAGGAATTTTATCAATTCAGGACCCGAAAGATAGACGAATTATCAAACTATCAATATAGGACCCGAATGATGAAAAACTATCAATTTAGGACCTGAATGATTGAAAACTATTAATTTAAGACCTAAGTTGTCATATTTTTTTTTATTTTAAATTTTTTAAATATTATTTAGTTTTATTAAACTAATAAACTTTTGTGAAGAAAAGTCTATCAAAAATTAGTAATGGAATTAATAAAAAATTAAATAAATCAAAACTTATGGAACATTAGGTCCTAAATTGATAGTTTTCCATCATTCGGATCCTATACCGATATGTTTCATCTTTCGGGTCCCGAATTGATAATTAATCTATCTTTCGGGTCCTGAATTGATAAAATTCCTATAACGTATTAACTGTATTACGTATCACCATTTTCATGATATCCTCTCTTCACCTTGGAAAACATATGTTGTCACTTTAATAGTTGATTTAAGGGAACACTATAAATCTTCTTTTATTGTTTGTGACGTGAATCAATTTTCCATTTCGAGCTATAAGCTGATTTAAGTTATGTTTCCGTTTATTTATTTAGTGATCAGAAGAATAGTTCTGCTAGCGAGATGATAGTTATATACTTTAATACTTGTATTTGATGCTTCCATAGACAAGAAAATCCATGTGGTTGATATACATAAATCCTTTCCAATCTTCTAAATGTTTCGATTAGCTGTTTTTATTAGAGCAGCGATTCCACACCCTCTGTATGTTTGACAATGCAACTATGGAGATAAAAACTCATGTTTTTCATTAAGGGTCTGTTTGGAACTCGGAAAATGCAAGGGAAAGTAAATAAGAAGGTTATACAAGACTTTTAGAAGGAAAGAATCAAAGAATGTTGAGGGGAATAAAACCTTAGTTCAAACTCAAAAAAATATTTGTATTTGTTCATATTCTCTTTTAATTTTTTACTATTCAAGTACTAAGAAATCTAAACATATTATAAAAACTGAAAACATTACTCATATTTCATTTTCCTTTGTGTTTTCAGAAGATGAACAAAAGTTAAAAAAAGTAATTTTCATTAGCACTTTTTTATTGGTTCAACATGCTTTGCAAGCAGGAGGAGAAGTTATCGTAGTTCAGTGACACTGTTGGTTTATGCTACTGTTATTACTACAGTACTACTTATGCACTTGTACAGTGAACTATACTAGGAAAACTGTCCAGTTTTTTTCCCCCCTGTAGTCGTGTAATACTACTATTACTTAACCCTTGCTGCATTTCCTTTTTTAATGGTATACTCGTGCCCATTTTGACACAATCATATTGGCTATTCTGTAGGCCTGTGACATTGCAGAAGATGGTTTATTTGCTTTTGACTTGCATAGTGATGGTGATGGTCAAAGGTATATACACACACATGGTTTTAAATTACGTCAGTGGCAGCGATAGCGGTTGCAGCTAATGTAGCCACTGCGAAGCGTATTGCTATTGCAGCTGCTGCGGCATGAAATGTTTTCCAGTTCGCACAAAATAGGAATATAATGATTTTTTTGTGTTCTTTAAGAAATCTTCTATTAATTACATTTAACATAAATTTGTTTATTTGAATTAATGGTTGATAAAATTAATAGAAGTATTATGAATACTTCCTTAAACACTTATATGTAATGAACAAATCAACCTATAAGAATATAACGACTAAAAGTGAATAGTGATTAGAAAGACTGTTAAATTAATTATTACAAACATAAGTAAAAACATATTCAAGCTAAACATGCCTTCTCGACCCTGCATGGCACCTCTTTGCAAGTACTTTTATTTTTTATTTTTTTACAACAGCTCTTAACAAGTACTTCATGAGCTTATTATAATGCTATATAAGTGTTTGACTGTTTGGTCGTCCCTACTCCATATTCCTTTAAACAACAGATACAATCATACAACACATATCCACTTTAAAAAACAGATACAACAGATATTGGTTTAAAAATAATCTAGGCAGCCCAATAAACACCAAAAGCATTGAAGTATCAAGTTGGGGAGATAGCGATTAGCGACAATGGTATTGCAGTGCCATTGCGGTTGGATGCGGGCGGTTGTGGCGTGATGCGGCTTATTGCGGCCCAATGCGGTTTCATTGCGGTTTTGTCGTGGTTACGTTGCGGGTTTTCTCCGTGATTTGAATTCCCACCGGTATAGCGGCCCGATGCGGTTGCGCTGCTGCCCGCGATCACAATAATGTGGCCGCATCAGGTGTTGTGGACCGCTATTTAGAACCATGTGTGTGTGTATATATAATCAACAACTATATATGATCAGCAACTAGACATATACTACAAATATTATATAGAGTTAGGATCAAATAAAAGAGGGCTTAAAGTGTGAAATCCTTCACACTCACTTTTACCTATATTCTTTGCACTTTATGTGCAGTGTAGTGCACTTTTTGACATTTTGCCAAAATCACTTATTTACAAAAACATGCGGTGACATTTTTGTAAACAAGTGATTTTTTGGCGAAACGTCAAAAAGTGCATTACACTACACATAAAGTGCAACGAATATACGTAAAAGTAGGTGCGAAGGATTTCAAACATTAAACCCTTTTTTATTATAACCAACCCCTATATATGGATGAGTTCAAATAGAAAGTGCACATTTTACATGAAAAGTAAGAATAGAGCTGGTGCATCTAATTTATGATCAAATGGCTTTAAATATGCTAACACTGCATTAAAAATGATAAAAAATGTGGTGACATATTCATAAATCGGTCAAAAAATTCTGTCATTTCTAAAAGAGCATTGTTTGAAGCAAAAAGTGCACCTTGCATGACAATTAGTGCAACCATTCACACTTTGCACGAAACACCACTTATTATTGGAACCGCACCCTATATATATGGGGGCGTGTTTGTGTTACATCAAGCATTTAGTACATTGCTCTATTTTACAGGCACTTAAATGCTTCTTTAAAAGAGAACGAAACAGAGAAAAAAGTGGGCACAAACGGTTCATTAATTGGGTTTCCACCTAAACGCTCCAACTTTTCATGCGTTCAAATGAATGGTAAGGAGGTCTTTAGGTTTGCGGTTCGTGTTGTGCCACAGTCTATTGAAGCTTCATTAAAGAAAGCTGGCATCACCAACTCTAACGTTGATTGGTTGCTTCTCCATCAGGTATGCTATTTGTGTTTGTATCGATTAAAACAAAAAACTGTTAGAAGTATGAAAATGGAGAAAATCCGCAGGATGAATTTAGGATTATTTTCTTGAAGTGTACAGTCTTCTCTATGGTCTTAAGCTCTGTTCGTTCTCTGCAAAATTCCAAAAAGTAATCTATTAGAAAATAGAGCCCTTTGGTAGGACCAGAGTTGGTTGAATCTACTAAAATTGCCAAGTTATGGCTTAAAGAGATGAATGGTTGAATCTGCTTAAGTATGCAAAATTATATTTAAAATATATGTTTTATGAATAAAGTTTGTTAACAAGTATGTGGGAAAAAGCCTCATGGAAATCAAACGAGTAAACAAGTTCATTAAAAAAGTACCTCTAACTTGTTAAAAGCGGTCAAAAGCGTAACTCCAATGTACTTTTTCCTTTATAAACAGTTCAATGCGTGAACACAAAAAATTGTCTTTTGTAAATTATTTGGCTCATAAGGCAAAAAACAAGTTTACCAAACGGGTGCTAAGTTGTTTCCTTGTAATATATCGTTTGATAAGTTTGATACTTTGATGTAGGAAAGTCATAAACCAGGAAGTCATTTTTCAATAAGTTCTTAGAATGTAGGAAATTATTTTCGGGAAAAATGTTTTGCTGAACATAGAAAGTTCAGATAACATATTTTAGGAATATAATTTGGTGGAAATAAATGGAAACTTAGTCATTGAAGAATATACATTTTATATGGTATTTTTTTCATTTTTGCTTAACTCGTTCTGTGAAAAAATAATTAATATGTTATATATACCATTACGCACAAAGGATGTGTCGATATATATAAATAATACTACCTCCGTCCCCCTGTTATTGTCCCATTACGGTTTACGATGCTTGACTGACGATAAAGCAAACAGATCCCTGTCCGCACTAGAGTTATTTTTAGGAAAAAAAATTGCATATTAAGAAACTACATTAAAAGGTTTATAAAGTCGCAAAAACCAGAATCAAATTTGATAAAAATTTGATAAATAAAGTAAGAGATTAAGAGTGATCTGTGTTGACCAAGTGCATAGGAAATGGGACAATAATAGGGGGACGGAGGGAGTATGATATACACATACTTCCCTATGTGTGTTGCAACATAGTCATTGCTGGAAAACATGCTATGTACAAACTACTTACAATAACAATGCCAAGGATAATGGAATGAGATAATTTCAAGCATGTCTTGTAGATTATGGTGTGATTATAGATTTATTTGTTGTTCATAACAGTATGACAAAATCTGTGTATTCTTTTAGAAATAGAATCAAGGCCATATTAATCATGTATTAGGTCATCGTCATCATCATCATTACCCCAGTGCCACAAAGACTCCCACCTACGGTGGAGTAGGGGGTCGGATGTACGCAGCCTTACCCCTGTACTAAAGCACAGAGAGATTGTTACCGGATGACCCAAGGTGGAAAAAATGCGTAAAAAGTTGCATGGACTGACTACTGCTTCATAACAAAGAAGCGCATATAGTTTAGTGAGCCATTTTGCTTTATTCCATCATTTTCCCAAACCAAAAAATAATGATTTTTTGGCTCCATTGCAAATGATGGAAGTAAAAGAAAAGTGGACTAAAGATTACTTTTAAAATGTTGTGAGCCTTGAACATAGTTGCATTTTTGCAGTGAGTGTATCAGTGTAGTAAACATGACGATTGACGATATTCAACTTTATACTGCAGGGACCATGATGTTGTTTAACTTTACAGTGCGGTGATCAATTGTAGTCATATTATTGTTCACGAGTTTCTATAAAAGCATTATTTCAGGAGAACTCCGTTTTTTTGTTATAGTCTTGACATTTAGAAAATTGGGTAAATGCAGGCGAATCAAAGGATTATTGATGCTGTTGCAACACGTTTGGCTATCCCACCTGAAAATGTGATATCAAATTTATCAAACTATGGGAATACAAGCGCTGCTTCCATTCCATTGGCTTTGGATGAAGCGGTTAGAAGCGGGAAAGTTCGGTCAGGCCATACTATTGCTGCTGCTGGATTTGGGGCTGGCCTTACATGGGGCTCTGCAATTATGAGATGGGGATGAACAACTTAAATGACGATCAGCCCAATGTATCATATTGAGATGAGAGGATGTTGATAATTTTGTGCCTTTAGTAGTTTAGTCTCTCTTAACGTTGTACCCAGAATCTCTTTTTGGTATTTACCGGAATTTTATTTATTTGCATTATATTCTCTTGAACAGTGTGAATAAGCTTATATATTCGTCTCATTTATATTATTGTTTTTATACATTGGAAAGATTGTTTAGTGTATATTTTATATATTCGCCTCCTTTATATGATATGTGCCGATGTGCGTTTGCATTCAACAATATTTAAACCTTTAGTTAGTAGTTTAGTATAAGGGAGATGCCTTACCTTTCTTTCATCTTCAGGCGAATCAGGGGTAGATCTTTGTAGAGGCCCGGGGGGCACAGAAACAAGTTAGGGAGTATATACTTGTGTATGAAAGAAAATATGTAGTTAAACCTCATATTGGCCACCCAACAATAACGTTATGGTTCCACTCACTTCCACCATTGTTCATATTGCTGCAATAGCGAAGTTTTGTCATCGTTCGGTGGCAGATTTGTGGTGTTCACAAACCATGGACTCAGGCCGGGTCAACTGGCCCGTAATCAGCCCGGGTCAACCGGCCCGGCGGCCCGTAATCGGCTCGGGTCAACCGGTCCGTAATCGGCCCGGTTCAACTGGCCCGTAATCGGCCCAAGCCCGGTACTGTTTCGGCCTGGCCCGGTACTCGGGTCGTAATCCAGTTCGGGCCACCCGACTCAGTACTGTTTCGGGGCGGTTCCGGGCCTCAAAAACAATGAATCGGCTCGGCCCGACCAGACTCGGTTTGGGCCAATTTTTTTTTTCGTTTTTCAAAATTTGAAAAATGTAAATGGATTGGTCTGGGTGTTTTGGACGGGTTTGGGGTGTGGGGTGGGGGTGGGAGTGGGAGGTAGAAAGTAATGCAAAAAAAAATAGGAAGCTGGCCCGAACCGGACCCGGTAGCTACCTGGGCTGGTTCCGGCCCTTAAGAATCCAGAAAAAGCCCGGTCAGGCCCGGCCCGAGGCCCGAACCGGACTGGCTCGAGTCCATGCCTATCACAAGGTGGCAACATGACAGAGATGCAATTGAGATGGAAGTTTTTTTGTGTTTATCCAGTTCCAGGTCTAGTTACGCTGGCTCCGCGGTAAAATCTATACTATCTTGAACTGGGGATGGGGAAAACAAGTTTGGTCTTGTTTAGGATCGATTATTATTTGGGATGATCTTTTAGCTTATCAGCATAACCAAAATTGAAGTGTTCGGCTTGTTTTTGAGGGACTGAATTGGTATGGACTGATTTTGGATGTCACTTTTTTATACTATTTCTGGCTTGTAAAAATGTATAGCAATCTTGTTTCTATAGTGTTTTTTATTCTCGTGTGAGCTTTAAACTCCTACACTGCAATATTATTTTATCATGTCTCTTGTAGAGTTTTGCATATATATATACCTCGTGTGAACAACAAAAGGCGGTGTTCGGACGGCGTTCGGACAGAAAAGTGTTGGACATCAGAATGACTATATATATATGTGTGTGTGTGTGTGTGTGTCTACATCCAACAAATATAAAGGATCTATAACTCTTGACAAGTGTGAATGGATTAAGTGATCCATTTCCGATGCTTAAGATACACCCGGAAGTTTTTGAGTTCAAGTATCACGAAGGTGAATATGGGAGAGATTTCTCAAATGATGCGCCTCGGAAAATGGGGAAAACTAGAGGTTCCAAGAGCGGTCCGGTGACATCATGGCTTCATCTTAGGCGAGAAGGGCAGAGACGACGAGAAGGGCAAAGATGGATAAAAAAGTTAAAGTCTAAGGGGGCAAAATTTAGTCAAGGGGGTTTAGCATAGACTTGAATGTTGTTGTTGTTGTTGGAGTGTAGGGCTTAAGCTTTTTTTTATTCAAAACAAATATTTCCAAATTGAATTAAAAAGTAATGATGTGTCAGCCTCCTATTGGATAATACAAATACTATTATAACTACTACTAATAGAATCCATTAATTCACGTTAATCACTATTATTCCTCCTGGAATCGTGTATCAAGGCTAATTTGGTGGAAGGGAAGAAGAAAAAATCTCTCTCTTTTTAAAGTGATATAACTTTTATATTCATAATCCAATTTTTACAAAAAAAAAATATCAAAATTCATAACTTTTTATGATCTTTTATATGACATCAATATCATATATATATAAATTAAAAAATTATATGTTATTTATATAGCAAATCTAAGTTAAAAATTCAATTGATTAATAAAAAAATAATATCAATACTACTAAAATATTTAAGTCATATATGTCACGCCGTAGACCGCATCTAAGCGCGTGTACAACCGCCGTATAACCAAGTGACATCACCCGCAAGTCAACGTGACTTGATCATACAAGACGTCCATGAACATAATCCATCCATACTCAGTAGTAAACATACACAACAACATCACATTTAATCCAATGAATAGCGGAAATATTCAACGGTAAAGCATGGGCCACATCCGGCCAAAACATGAGCTCACAGGTCCAAAATAGTTTATAGTAAATCAAATATCCATGAGCAAGTGTTTGGTAGTTCAAAAGGAAATAAGGAAGCACGAACTATGTCTTCCTTGAGTTGACTTCACCCGTAAGAAGGTGTAGGTAGCAAGCCCTAGCTTCAACCTGAAAATGGCGGGGCCTCCCGAAGGGGTCAGTACAAGTACCGAGCGAGTAGCAAGCTAAATGTAGCATAACTAACGTTTCAAGTATAAGACCCAAACATAGGGTGATACATACACGTATAGTACTTTCCCCCAAGTTATAAAATACATATCAGTATATATATACACTTGGAAATACCCGATTCGTAGGTCATTGTTTATTTGGGAAAAATCACAGTAGTCAATATCCTTGACTTAAATCCCAACCCACCCATATCCTATGTGTGTATAGGACTCATCGTGGTCCAAATCAATTTATACATACGAGTTTAAGGACAGTACCATCATCCTTGGATTCTCTACAATTTATACATATGAGTTTTGAGAACACTACCTTCGTCCCTGAGTCTTCACCATTTATATACCGAGGTTTGAGCACAGTACCGTCGCCCTTGGGTCTCCACCGTTTATACATTTGAGGTTTGAGGACAGTACCGTCGTCCCTGGGTCTCCACCGTTTATATATTTGAGGTTTGAGAACAGTGTCGTCGTCCCTGGGTCTCCACCGTTTATATATTTGAGGTTTGAGGACAGTACCGTCGTCCTTGGGTCTCCATCGTTTATATACTGAGTTTTGAGGACAGTACCGTCGTCCTTGGGTCTCCACCGTTTATATATCCATTCCTATGATCTACCACATATCATACATAGATAGGGTCCACAACTTCATCGGTAGACGAATCACTCTCCTAGAACAAAATATAACAACTTTGAGCAAGGGATTAGACGGATTTTGTCTCCATAAAACGATGTGGGTTAGTATAATTACCTCAAAGAAGACTTTTTCCTTAAGCTTCGCAGCATGAAAATATCCTTCCGCTTTCAAGTTAAGCATGGAACAAGGCTCTTCAGCTACTTTTGTAGCGGCTAATTTAGCCAAGTTCGGTACATTCTCGTACGCCCAAACCTATACAAATGGCAAAAGTTGTGATAAATTGTTTTGTTATTAAATATACTAAGTTGCTGTGTATAATTTGGATCATATCTGTAACACATGTGGGGATCCATACATCGTATTCTTCGCTTTTTGGTACATAAGATCACCGGCCTTGCTTTCCTTAAAAAACTTCGGTTGGCCTACCATTAGCGACTTCATGTGATTCACGGTCAAATTATATGATTCCAACGTCCAAGGGTACTTCTTGAAACTCTCAAAGTCATCGATCCATTTCAGAAATTCTGGGTTTATTTTGGTCCCTTTGTCTCTGGAAAGCAGGACACACTGTGTGTAATACAGAGATGCAAGCTTGACACCCAGTAGTGGATCACCTCTCCTTGGAGCCTTGTATTCTTCCATCATATTCTTCAGCTGCTGAAATGTAATTTCAGTGCGTCCCTTGAAGAACTTCTTAGCAATGGAGTCTTCTTCATTGGTGGAAAACTCAGGCCTCTCACCGGTAGGTGGTAGTTCAGTTATGTGGAGAAAATCATTGAAAGTAAACTTCAACAGCTTCCCTCTAGAGTCGTCAAAATGGGTTGAAACTCGTGGGATGGCCCGTTTAAACCCATTTATTGGTGGGTTAGGGTTGAGAATTTCTGACCCATTTAGTTCGCGGGCTTCGCAGGTCAACCCACACGGGTTGTGGGTTTAAGTGGGTTGGCCCACCGGGTTGCGGGTTGGCCCACGGGCCAAAATACAAAAATATAGTTTTGAATTTTATTATCTTAAATATTGTCCTTTTACTACCAATATTATTATAATTACAAATAAAAAATTACAACCATGACAAAACAATATTTTTCTATAATAAAATTCAAATAAAATGTTGAAACATACTACATACTCCTTCCGTCCCAAATTGTTTTGCAAAGTCAACATTTTTTGGTCAACCAATAATAAAAGTCAATGCTCCCTATCGATAATTAATTCAATTTTTATAGGCAAGTTATCACCTCCCTCCCTTGAGGTTTCACGTAGTATCACCTAGACCCATGTACTATTAAAAATATACTTTTACCCCCTCCCTACCCTTTAATGACAGTTTAAATAACTCATAATCATGTTTAGCAAAATTATAAATTTAACTGATCTGGCGATAAATAAATCTATCCGCATTAAGAATCTTTCCACAATAAAGTTCACTTTGTGGTTAAAAAATTAGCTTATGTAGTCTATCTAAAACATTTAAAAATTTATCCGCATATGTAATCCTGTATTAACAATTTTAAAAATTTAAATGAAAATTATTTATAATTAAGGTTTAGCTAAACTTTTGGGATGTTATTTTATACCTAAAACAATGTTGGTGAATAATGTTTATGGGAAATTAAATACTTACTTAAAAGATATCACCTTGTTCTAAATATCATTCACTAACATCCATTTTAGGTATAAATAATATTTCAAAACTTTAGCTAAACTGTAATTCGAAATAACGTTAGTTCATTCAAACATAAAAATTATTTTTATTATATCTAAAATATATTAGTGGAAACTTTTAAGAAAACAGTTGAAGCTAATAATCTTTTTTCACGTGAGAAAAATATATCTAACGTGAGATGTATATTTCACCAATATTTCTATAACTTCATAAATATTTTTGAACTTTTAAAAGTAATAGAGATTTACTGTTTCAT